TAAAAAAGTTTGCTAGCCCAGTTTGAAACTGAAAAGGCACAGAGCTTAGTTGTATAGTCCCATCGTTAACTTTTTAGAAAAAAAAAAAAAAAAAAACGAGAGGTAAAGCAACAAATAAACTTAACTTGGTTAAGGGGTGAAGGGTATGTCTTAAGACCCACAGCCTTCATCTATTTTGAGGCAAGCCTTTCTTACGAAACTTACGAATTAATAAGAATTAAATAAGAAAGTAAATATGTCAATAACAAAATCTTCAAAAGATATAAAATTTTCCAACAATTATAACCAAATAATTAAGAATTTAAGCCTAATTTTAGATAAAGATAACAATAAAAAAAGCCAACAATTAGCAACTCTATTAGATGAATCAGCAAAACTAACCAAAGAAAAAGTAGAAAAACAACAAGCAATTGCTAAAAAAACTAGTAAAAAAAACGAATTAAAGCACTTAATACTTCATCAAAAAGGAGTTGAACGAGAAAAAGCCCGAATTCTGGGTCAAACTGTTCCTAACATGCCCTCAGTAACTACTGATAAATCTGCTTGGAATGCCGATGATGGAGCCTGGAATAGTTTTCACGGAAAAAAGGCTGACGGTTCGGCCACCACTAATCATTATGATTGGGACGATAGAATAAAAACTTTTTACCCCGCTACTTACAAAGATAATCTTTATAAAGTAAAAGGGGAAAGTTTTCACATTACAGAAGATGAAGCGATAAAATTATTAAGCCGCATAATTTATGAATTAGGTCGAATAAAAAAAGCTGATTTTGCTGCTAAACATGGTTTGACCGGTACTGATAAAACCGCTATTGAAGCTCAATTGGATAGATTAATAGAACAGTCAACCGCTATTAAGGAGATGAACGAAAAAGGGGCCAGTAGCAAAGATTTAGCCAAAAAAACTTGAGATTTACCGCAAACTTATAGTAAAGAAATAGCCATTGGCACTAATACTCCTCGGGTAGCCAACCCTTTCAATTTCAACGATTTAGATTTTGTGGCCAAATTAAATGATACTTTGGTCAATAATTTGGATCAGAGTGATATTACCAAATCAGAAGAATGAACCCTAAATAAATCAGGTGACGCTTATACTGAAGAAGAATTGGCTGATTATGGAATAACAGTCTCCGACAGTTCCAAGACTACTCTTTATAAATCAATTAAAAAAGTAGGGGATGAATGAGTAAAAGCCGGAGAACACAAAGTAAAAGTAGAAAATGGCCTAAAAGGATGAATTGAATTATTTAAATTGGTTTTTGAGGAGGCCGATAACCAGGCTAAAATAAAGTCTTCTTTTTCGACTACTCCTAACCCAGTTCAACAATTATTTACCGATTTAAGAAGTCAAGGGGCAGTAGATGCCAACTTCAATACTCACTATCGTTTACCCGAAAGTAGTGATGCCCTGGATGATTTGATTGCTCAATTGGAAGCTGATAAAACTGTGAGTGCTGTGACTAATGCCGATTTGGCTAAGGAAATCCAAGAACTTAAAAAAGAAATTGCCGAAAAAGAGAGTGAGATAATTAGTAAAAAAAGTGGGTTGGATGGTTTAGTTGGGGAAATTTTGACTAAAAAACGCGAACAACTAGCTACTCACAACATTAGCAAAGGATTT